TGATACTGAAAATGAAAATGATAGCTTGGGATCCCTGTGCTAGTCCCATGACGCACTGCGTATTGTTTTGGCGGGAAGACTCAAAGTTATGGCGGCTGCATTCTGATAATAACATTGTACTTCATTTTCCTTTTATTTTTTCAACCAACCATAAAAATGAATAAAAATATTGTTCGACTTGCCGATGAAGGAAACGTTTCTGCTCTTACAAAAACACTTGCTGAAGTACAACTCGAGGAGGTACATATTTCGTTCAGCTTAGCCTAGAAAGGTTCACATGCTCGCTTTCGTTTTCATCTCTTGCCGCTCTTTTTATTCAGCTCGGGGAAATTTTAGAAGAAAGAGCTCTTGAAGAAAAGGCAGACACAGTCAGTTTTATTCGAGCTGTATTAAAAGGTAAGCGTATTGTTTTGGAAGATTATTTTTTTTAAAGGTTTTTAGTACCTAAACTTGGAAGTGTTTGGGTTTTTGCAGGGTCTTCGTGTAATACAAGTGATGGTTTAAAAAGAACAATGTACATGTACAAACAAACCATAAAACTGCTAAACAATGGTGAAATAACTAACAAGGTAACAAACTAGTCGTTACATATGTAATGCATATTTTTGTCAAGATAATGGTTGAAGTGGGAGGGCCATACCTCTATCTAAAAGTTGCTGAAGTATGTTTTCTTATTGTTCTTATTATTTTATTATTAGGTATCAACAGATATAGTTGGTTTTCTTCTTATGGAGGTAGGCTTCTAAATTTTTACAGAAGATGTTGCTTGTCTGTGAAAATTTTAATCCCATTTTTAATCCCATATTTTCATGTTTCGTTTATTTTGTATTTCATTTACTTCAAGCTGGATGCTCTTCCTGGTAAAGCCTTAGCAGAACTTGCTGACGTTTTTTTGGATGCAATAAAAGAAGGATCAGTCTCTGGAAAGTAAGAATTTTTATTTGCTTATTTATCATATATCATCATGCAAAAATTCTAAATCACGATATCCAAATCATTTGCATTGACATCCTGGGGAAGGGGAGAGATATTTATACGTCAATTAATTACTTATTGTTTTACTGTTTATAAGGCCAAACAAACAAAATAAGTGTGTTTCCTGTTGTGTGACCAACCCTAATTTTCTTGCTGATTTTTGCCGGCCCTAATATTTTTTTCATTCCCAAATGCACCACAAGGTTCCCAGTAAGCTAATTTTCACTGTTGTATCATTTAAAAAAATCCGACCTACCAACCCAATCATTTTTCTCATGCAACAGGAAACAAACTTATTTTTTTGTTTGGTCTAAGGATTGTTTTGTTACTAACATTGTCCTTTCAATTATTAGGAGCCTTGAGTTGCTCCCTAAAGTATTGTCTGCTGTTGCTGCTAAAGAATCTGTACCTTTGACAACAGGTATTATTAATGCGTTCTGTTAAGTCTCCTACTCAAAATTATACCATTCTATATAAATTTTGTACAAGCAGCTGCAGTCCTCAATATAATGGCTGCTCAATGCCCCGACGTGTTGACTGTCCGCAACAGAATGATGAACAGTCAAAATGACTAGCGTAAGAGGCATTTGGGCAGACAAGTACTAAAAATTAATTGCTTGACATTGTAAATGTACTATTGCAATGGTGTGGTGGTCATCTCAAATCACAAGGTGTTATGGGTCATCAAGGGAGCAAATATACAAAGCTTTGTTATTTTAATGGTGTTGATTGACATTGGATTAACAGCTCACAACGAGACAATTTGACAAGAGATTAATTGAAAATGTAGACTGTTCCACAACTGAGTAAATTTCTCAAAGATTGTGGAATCGCATTTCAGTATCTTTGTTTTGCTTTGCCCCCCTAGTAGACCGATAATGCCTTGCAATCCAAGATGGCCATGGCATCCTCAAAGTAGTCCATTGACCAGCTGTTGTAATTTTTAGCTTGAGTTGCCATCCTGAGTTTTGCCTGTGTTTCTTAATACCTTTCAATATTCCCTTGCTTATTTATTAAAATATTTTTTTATATATACTGGAAGATTGTGGTGGAGAGATGTCTGGGCCTGAATACAAAAGACAAATATTAAACAGCTTGTGTTCCAGCAGGTATGGGCACGGCAATGATGTTACTATCCACACAATTGGATTGAATTTTTAATTTACCAGATTACAAACCTTTCATTTTCAGGTGGGACTCTCAATGTGTGATACATCTGGCTGCAATGTTTAGGTAGGCCATTCTTTTATGTTAACATTTATCCTTGTGCAAAACCTAACAAGCTAAATTCCCATATAATCTGTGAGTTAGCCATACCCTTACTTTGATAAGCCCAGGGTATTATTGATATAGACTGTAGGGGCAGATTTAGGGGAGGGGTGGAGGGGGGGATATGCATGCCTCCCTCCCCATATGAGCTGATATCTACTGCATTATTAATGCTTGAGTTTGTGAAGGTCTTGATTATAAATGTAACTCCCCTTCATAAAGAACTCCAGGATCGGCCTTTGTATTAGCAATTTTGTCCACTTTCTGTCTTATCCTCAAAATGTTCATTCTCATATAGGGATGTGCCAATGAGTTCTGAAGAGTTGAGGTTTGTGATAGATAAGTTACAGAGAATGTTTAAAGAGCTTGACCTCCAGGAGCTTCCTCCTTTGGTGTATCAGCTGTTATTACTCTCCACTAAGGTAAGAAACTTGCCTGTAGATTGTAGATTTAACATCATTTGTAAATTGTTAACCATTGAGCTATAGCTGTATCCGGTGTGACACTTGTTTCCATTGGCAAGCCCTGTCCAGTGTTCTTACCAGGCCGCGCCAATGCGGGATTCGTGCATAAAAATCAGAAATGCCGCACAAATGTCAAATCTATGCACCCCCAAGGGCGYATGAATTATCCAAAGAGTACTTCCTGATAGTTTTAAAGATCTAGAGTACTTTTGAAGTAATAAAAGTCGCATTATATTGTCGATAAACAAGGTGAAAGTCCACATGAAACGCCACGAATCGAACATAGCCGCCATCACCAAGACGTCTGGGATTAGTCTGTGTTAATTGCCTCTGTTTATTGATGGCCCAATTATGGCTGCCCAGCGAAATTTTATTGTGTTGTCATTACTAATAAAACTGTCTTTCATTGTTGTAGATTTGCAACAGAGTTACTGGCTAAAAACATTATTTGTTGTTTTAAGATTTTGGGAATGGCCCATCCAGTTTTCTAAATGGCCCCTAAATTTCGGATTGGTGGGCCCTTTGACCCCCTGAAAGAAATTCCTGGTAAGAACACTGCCTGTGCATGTGTTTTGGGAATCAAGGGTGGTTTAGCTAAAATGCATATTCCTCTTACCTCTGGGGTATCAGGTTCAAGTTCTGGAATTACAGACTTATGGATTTTTTTGTAAGAAGAGTTTGTCAGGTCTATTCCTAATGTTGTTATTACATGTAGGGTCATAAGAATCTGGTCCTACAAGGTGTGTTGTCATTCTTTAATGAACAAGATGAAGCCTGTAGAGAAGAAGAAAAAGCACAAAATCAGTAAGTGAATGATTGACTACAAACACCTGTTGTATAGCTTTCCAGAAATTATCTATACCTCCCATGGAGGAATTTTTTAAAAGACCCCCTTACCTAAAATTCCAATTTTCTTCCATGAAAGCTCTGTATTTTTTTTCTTTCTCTGACCCATCCACCACCCTTCAGAAATTCCAAATTCCTCTGTGGTTTGGGTATGGATAGTTTTTGATATTGTGGTTGAGTGATCGCCAAGAATGGAAATCCATGATGATCTGATGAGTCACAGTTTAATTTTGTGTTTACAAAAATAATGTTTTTGTACATATTTTTGTTTTATCAGTGATGGTGTTCAGTCCATCTCAAAAGAGCAGCTTCGACATATGGAGGGCACCATCATCTTGCACATTACATTTGCTATAAAACAAGACCAGAATCTTGGCAAAGAGTTGATTAAATTTCTTAAGGTATTAAAGCTATTTAACAACCAAATTGATATATTTTTCTTTAAACCAAATAATGTAATGATGAGACATCCTGATCCATGATGTTATTGATATTTTTAGCTTTACAGGAAGATTTATTTTCCCATTACAGACAACACACCCTTTTCTTGAGATAGGGAATCATTCAAATGAGATTCTTTGTTTGAACTGCACCCATATTGTTATAGAATATCTCAAGAAAGTAGTAGATAAGTATTAAAAGGTTTGCAGTGGGAAAACATATAAATGGATCAATATTGTGAGCTTGCAAGTTGTTGAAAATATTTGCTTTTTGCTGCTTTAATATTAAAATAATAATTGCAATTAATCAATCTCATATGAATCTTATGCACAGGCTTCCCAGAGTTCTCCAGGAAAGATCCTAACACCCTTTACTGTGGCATTGTCATTGTCTGTGGCTCAAATCCATAGATTTGAAGAAACAGTAAGTATCAGTCAGTGTCCTGCTTCCAGCTGCTTCATATTTTGAAATTCTTCTGAATTCAAAACTTTCTTTAGGCATTTACAAAATCCGTAGTCACCAGTAATAAGGTTCTTTCAAAAAAATGGCATCCTCTCTATACTAACTGTAAGTATTTGTTTCAGGTTTTTGATATACTCAAGTCTTCAATCTTAAGGAGTTTCAAGGATGAAGAGAGACAAAGGCAATCCAAGTGGATTAAAGGTTTTTATTAGTTAGTAGTTACTTTTTTTTCCACATGGATGTTTATATTTCTTTAATGATTTAATATGTTTATTTTGCAGAAAATATTCCTGAATGTTTCAAAGTACAAGACTTTATCCTGGAAACTGTGCAGAATAGGTAATAATTTTTGTTACCAAAAATCTTATACTTTTTTGTACTGTCTTTTCCCCTGTGCATTTTGTTGTCTAGCAATCAGCTTGTCTGCTGCAATCTAATGGCAATTTACAGACACGTCTAGTCTAGTCATAGTCTACCAGTTGGTCTAATTAATGATTTAAAAAGACTTGAAAATCTTATCTTACTGTAGCTTGTTTGGCTGGGATCATGTCACACAAGGTCTTGTTCAACTTGGGTTTTTGTTGATGGACAGTTATGGACCAAGAGTGTTTGGTAAGTGATGACAAAACATGATGATGATTATTATGACCATGATACATGTTGATGAAATGAAAATACATGATGATGATGTTGAAAATGATGATGCAAGATGATGATGTCAATGATATGCATGATTGATGTTGATGACATATGATAATGATGATAGATACATAGCGATGATGCAAATTGATGATGGTTATGATACATGATTGTTGATGACACATGACAGTGATGATGCATGATGATAATGATGATACATGATGATGACATAAATGATGATGATAAGAAGAAGAATTCTGTTACATTCAGAGACCCATGCTTTAGAACATCTCAGTCCAACCCAACAAGCATGTGAGCTTGGCTCCAAGGTTCTCCTGAATACCTTCAAAGGACATGAAATGGTCAGAGCAGAGATCCTGGAACAGATTCTTAACAGAGTGGTAACCAAGGCAACCACACCTGTTGGTCATTTTATCAGTGAGTATTTGCTAGTGGGCTGGGTCGGAATTAAGTTTGGAATGCAATGATGTCATAAAAGAAATATGCATACTCAGTAATGCTGTTGCTGCTGCTGTTACTCTCATTGTGGCTCATGTTCATACTGCTGGCCCACTTTCATTGCTATTGCTGCTCATGTTTCTAATGATGCTGTAGGTGTTGTTATTGTCTTTACTGCTATCGTCATGGCTTTGGCTCATTAATATTGATGATGCTGTTGTTGCATTTGTTGCTGCTGATCTTGCTGTTGTTGCTACTGCTGTCATCGTTAACACTGTTGCAGTTGTTGCTGCTTCTATTGTTGTGGATGCAGTTACTGCTGATGTTGCTGATACTCTGTTCATTGCTACTGCTGTTGTTGCTGTTGTTGATCATGCTTCTGTCGTTGCTTCTTTTGTTGTTGCTGTTGGTTGTTGTTGCTGTTGAATTTGCTCTTTCTGATAGTTGTCATCCCAGAACATTATTTTCTTGTTCATAGACCTTCTCTCAAGCACAGTGCGGTCTGCTCCCCATGTTCTATTGGAGTCTCTACCAAAGGTATCATAATCATATAACCATGTCATTCCTTTGATCATTAACACTGAGTTGACCACGGTCTTGTCTAATCATGTTACAGGTGAAAGAGGCTCTTGATTACCTCTCTTTTCTCCCACCCAGAACAGCAGAGGGTCTTCTAAAAGCTCTTCAGGTAAGCCTATCTGTGACAGTAGTGTATTAAAAAGTCAATATCAAGACACACTTAATATTAACAGCTCATCTTGTTTTGTCTTTTTTTTTTCAGCCTCTTATGAAGATAAGTCTTTCCTTGAGAGATTCATTGATTCTTGTGCTGAGGAAGGCAATGTTTTCTAGGTACAGTAGACCCTCAGTATTATGGTAGATTCCTCCTCATGTAAACCATTATCTTGTTTTGGTTATGGGTTCCCTGTGTATAGCATTTGAGAAGAGAATGTAGGGAGAGAAGGCTGCAACTCTTGCTATTTCCTTCCCTACCCATTCCTTTTCATTTGTCTTTCCTTTTAAGATCAACACAGGACCCCAAAACGTTGAAAGGAAGAGTTGCCTTTGGAGAAGGCAAGGGAGATCATTGGTTAACTTCCCGTCTCTTTTGCCAATCTTATGCTTTTAGATTCGTAGTTGTACTTGACAACTGTCAGTTTCTTGACTCTATAGTATTAAATTGGTTTTGATGCATATGTGGCTATGCTGTTATGATGTTATTTATAATTTGTATTTACAATACACCGTGATTTATAGGCAAGTTGATGCAAGAAAAATTGCTGTTACAGGTTTTCTTCAGCTACTGAAACACTTTAAAGTAAGCCTATTCAAGTTTACTATGATATATATCTCACTAGTTGAAGCTCAGTGAATAGTTTTTAATTTATGTGTAGAAGTGCCTTGTGCCAACATGGATTTTTGTACCTTTCCAGGTTCTAGGAAGTGGTGGTCTTGGATCAAGTCAGGCATCTAGCCAAGCAAGTGTTTCTTTTTCCCAATGTAGTCAAGTACAGGTTGATGTCCACATCAGAGGAGGTGCTGGCAATGAAGCTCTTTGCCTGGAAATTCTTGGTAAGTAGGAAGAGCCATTTTGATGATGGTATTCTAAGGGGTAAAAGACATCCTTAAAAAACAGTCCCTCTTTTTTTACGACAAAAACAGTCTAAAAAACTGTAGCACTTAAATCAGCCAGTGGCTTTTAAAACGACCACTATACCAACTATGCTTTCACACATTAAGTATATACCTGTATAGAGACAGGACTTGAAAAGTTGGAATCATTCATTAATTTTGTACTTTCCTAAGCTCAAATAAGCATTTTAATCTCTCTTTTTAATTATGCAGGAAATCTAAGAAGATGCTTTACACAGCAGTCTGATGTGCGAATTCTTCTGTATGAGGTATATTATGAACAACATTTAAAAAATACTGTCAGTCTGGCTCTCTTGAGGATCGATTACTAATTGTTTTCATTCATATATATCCCTAGTCTAATGATGTGCTAGTTCGTACTGAGGGTGTTTTTTTTACTTCCTTTAGGGCCTATATGATGTTATGTGTCATAATCCTCAGCTTCGTCAACCAATACTTGATGCTCTGTATGTGCAGGTATATTGATTTATGTTGGTTGCTCTTCCCTTAATCTCAAAAGCCATCTATCTATCCATCCATTTACCAATCCTTCCAAAAAACCTGACACCTGTCACCTGTCCTGGTATTTTCTATGCATTTGTCCATCCATCCATCCACTCAACCATCCATCCATCCA